CTGTGTCACTGGGGGCCTTAGTGATAGGAGTTGTATATGTTAGAAACTTAATAACGTATTAATTCAAATGGTTTTTGTCTGATTTTTTATTCAAAGTGTGGCATCGTTTATTCATATTTACCCTGTTGATTGTTAAAACGTTCTTTATTTGGTAGCTATTATATTTTGTTCCTGTATGTAACGTATATTCATTATTATATGTTACAACTTATGTTGACATGGGTTATCATATGAGCGTATCAAAATTTGTGCACACAAAAAAGAAAAGTTAGACAAGTTTTTCTTTTAAATTCCTAGCTTCACAGTAGCCATAATTTTTCTTAGTTCAGAAAAAAGTTACATTACTTACTGTAACTCTTTCTCAGTAGTATGTAGAGACGGGCACAAAACATGTTGCATTATTACTATTTATTTCATTTGTTTCTTGTTAAGCACAAAGCAACACAGTGGGCCAGCTGTGTTTTGCTCACTGTGGATATCGAAAACCGACTTTTGGCGTCATTAGCCCTCAGACTTACCGCCGAGAAGCGTTACATTATTTAATAAAACTTTCGGTAGTGAGTTACCGAGTAAATTTGTGTTAAGATATTAAGATTTACTTCTCTTTCAATTAAATATTGATCTTATGCTATTATGGAATAATTTAAATAAGCTCACAAAGTTGGTTTTCTTTATTCTTTTAGATGCAGTCACTTTTTATTCTTCCACGGGTTGTCCTTTTTAATTTTTTTCAAACCATTTTGCTACATTTCAAGTTATTGCCTTCATCTACACTTTCATTCTATTCGCATGTTAGTATCTCAAATAAATAGAGCTTTTAGATTCATAATTTGAAATTAAATGCGAAAGTTTTTAGTAGACATAAGTTTACATTGCATAAACACATTTAATTTCTTAGCCCTACCATATATTATTCGCTTTATATATAATAAATCTGTAGGAGAGACTGGATGCTCGAGCAGAGCAAGAAAGAAACGGAAAGACTGTTACCATAGTTTCACATTTTTTATTGCACTTTACTTGGCATGTATATATATATATAACTTTAACAGCAAACGTCTTAGAATCATTACACAACATACAGTTTGTTGGAAGATGTTACACATGATTTTAGCATAGAAACATGCTCATTTACTGAGATCAACTGAAAACTTGGTACGTTTATAAGAAACAGAAAACAGTGTGTGAGATTATTTCCATAGTAATACGCAAAAAAACTTATTAAAATAAACAGGTTTTCTCGTGCATCATACACATTTTTTCGTTAATTTTAATTTTAATACATGTTTGTGAAAAGAACCTTTACAACTGTGCAGCGTGTGTGTTTATGAAATAACTGCTTAAATATGGCTTCTTTCCTGGCTGATTTTCATTATTGGCTTACAGTTAGTTTTTGTTTTTTAACCTAATATTCTATTGGTTTCAAATAACCAAAGCGATGTTAGCTAGCTGATTAAAAACTATGAACGCGTGCTGTAACTCACTGAAAATAACACCTTAGCGTAATCATTATCAAGTTGTGAATTTTTATAACAGAAATACCAACCAGAAATCAGAATTTGTTGAATGAAGATGTGATAAGCTACTCACTATCACTAGTCTACTCCTTATGAAATAATTTTGTTTCAAACAGTCCACGATGATTATTATATTCTAATAAAACTCTTCGTGATTGAGAAGAGACTACGGAAATGAAACTAATTAATAAAATTGAGAAAAGAAACACTACTACTTAATATAGACGTATATAAGAGAAACGTTCTCGGTTTATATGAAAAATAGAGAAAAAAGAAGAAATATTTCATTAAACAAATAACGAGGTGGTTGGAGTCTATTTTACCAAGACAGCAAAATGTCAAAACCATTTTCTATTAAACATATAATTTTGTTTCTTTTGTTGGATAAAAGTGGTTTCGTATAATCCTGTTTGCCAGCTAGACTCATTATCCAGTCATTTCCTAAGCATAGTTGTATTATACTGACATTTTAGACACTACAGTAATACACAGCTACAATTATTACGAGGGAAATCCCTTATCAGTAGCCGCCATGATGAAACAAAGTACTCTGATCTTTCTAACTATAAACGCGAAAAGTATATTTTATTAACTATACTGATGCCATATTGATATTTTTAATTTGCTTTAAATAAATGTCTTGTTCTGATCGGACGTTAATATCAATTAATGATAAACTTCGAAAAAATTCCTTCTACTTTTTCAGGAAAAATCTCTTTTTTTTTTTCCAGTTCGTCTTGATTTTCCTTCTATTTATATAAAACAGAATATTTACGTTAGACACATCTGACTAGATATTAGAGTATCATAATAATAATCTAAATTTATTAGATTTCTGGAGAATGAAAACATTTATTGTCGGTATCATGCCTGAGAGAAGTCTGAGGTTTGAATTTTCTTAAATCTCGTTGTTTTCACTTTTACGATAAATCTATCTTTATATTATATATACAACATAACACTTGAAATTAGTAATATAACACAAGTAATCTCAATTTATCATTAATTCTGGAAACGCTAGTACTTAATTTTATTTCTTATTATAGTTTTCTGTACAGCTTATAATAACATAGAATTGTTGTGGTTTTTTCGCACTTAACATGGCCACTGAGTGTGTTCAGGATTATGTTAAATGTGGAACATTTATTCTAGTACAATGGAGTCAATACACAATTATTACTATAAAATCATAGAACTCAAAACTTTATGGAAGACACGTTAAACCTTCTCAGACTAATAACTTCCAGGATATTAATTATCTTTGACTGTATATAAATTTACTTCTTATTAACATTAAAAAAAATAACGAAGATTAAGAACTTTAAGTTTGGGATAGTTTGTTTTTGGTATTATGATTAACACTACATCCAGGACATTCCAACGTAAAAATTTGCTGTACAACATTTACATAGCTTCAAACTGAAAGTTGGTGTTGTTAACATTGTGCACACCACAGTTTATTCATTTAGTTACTAACTGCAAACACAAACAAGTAGTACCAATAAACCAAGATACAAACCGTTAAACTATTGATTGACTAGATTTGCCAAGCCTACTATTAAATCATTCTGAGAGAATACCTCTGACTTCTTCAAGTTTTCTCTTGACCCTCGATTAGCCCATCACATGAAACATCGACTTCGAGGACGATGAGCTCTGATTTTACTGGAGACATTATGGATAATATCGCCATCGACACAGGGGAGAAGAATACAGAAAATCATTTTTTCCTCTTTACTATCATTTAGAAAGATGCTGAATGGCACAAAAGGGTTGCCTCCTTGAACAAAATTCTTTATCTTGGCAAATACATCCGGAAACTGAATTTCTAAACAAATGCCTCTGTCCATTAGATGGCGCTGTATTGCATAAAAGCCCCGATCACGTTCTTCAAGATCAGAGTCGGGTTCCTTGGACACAGAGAGCAAAACAGTGTGGATGTCATCCTCTGGGAATGGAGGGGTCAAACGCATCTTCAGTCCTCGTATCAGTACTTGGTTTTTATTTCCTGCTGTTCCTGAATATTTATTCACAGAAATGGTGCATAAAAGGATAAGTTTTGTCTCTGGTTGGTATCGATGGCACAAATAACGCATTCTGCGACATGTTTCTGTATCCATTTCTTGATTGACTAGTTCCTTAAGAGGGATATAGAAGATTTGGCCTTTAAACTTATCCCATCCCTTGTAAATAAATTCTAAGGCGTCATCTGGGTTAGAAAATATTAGTTTCACGGCTCCTCGACCAAGGGCGTGAAACCCTTTTCTAGCGCATACCGATACGTGGCGCCTTGCAATGTTGTCTCGACGAACATTGAACAAAACTTGTTGACATAGATTAACGACACGGTTATAAGGACAAACACTTTTATGGATTTCCCAGTCAATTCTGCGACACTGTCGTCCGCAATATAAAATTTCACAGTTGGAACACATTCGAAATTTGACGAGTGCTTCTTCACTGAGAAGCGCATTGTTGCACTTCATTCGACTGCATTTGATTTTTCCTGTGATTAGCCCATTGTTTGATGGAGGAAATATGATGCTAGCTTCCTTAGTAGATGCACTCGAAACATTTGGCTGACAATCTAAAGAAGATCGGAGTTTACGAGTGTCGTTTTTTACTGGCACTGTAAAAAAAACAACTACAAATAAAACCATTAGTTCAAATAACATGAAAGAATAAAAGAAAATCATCAGAAAAATATCTAAAGATTATCCTTAAACCATAAATATAATTTTAGTTTTCAGTGCAGTAATAAGGGTAGATCAGTAGAGGAAGATTCTATATATATCATTTGATACATTAGTATTGTAGTGTTAGCTGTATGTATATGCGTGATGAATCATTTAAAATTGTAATGGTGGTTCTACAGCTTATAAGAACATTTAGCTAGAATAATATTGTAATGTTAGTTATATAGCATAAAGCATTATAAGATAATATAAAGACAATGATATTGCAATGTTTGTTCTGAAATTTAAAATATAATTTAAATAGATTCATGATGTCAGAAAAACACGTAGGTTCAATAATTCTTGATATAAAATGATAAAAAACATATAACCAGAGCCCTTTCAAAAGGTGGACCTTTCTTCTTCAGAGGCAAACTGGGAATTTGTCCCAGAAGAAGAAAGGTCCATCTTTCGAAAGCGATCCGGTTATATGTTTTTTTTTATCATTTTCTATTTAAATGTATTAATATTATAATGCTGGTTCTACAGCTTATAAGAACATTTAGCAAGAGCAATATTGTAGTGTTAGTTCTTCAGCTTAAAAGATCAGTAAAACAATATTGAAATATTGGTTCTGAAACCTAAAATATCATATTAAATATGTTGATATTGTAATGGTTATTGTACAGCTTAAAGATAAATCACATAAACTAACATCGTGATGTTGTTCTAGTTATAAAGAATCATTTAGATAATTTAATATTTTAATGTTGCCTACAAAAGGTACCGAGCTATGCGCAGCGTTAAATGACACTTTCTTTCTTTGAAAAACCTACGAAAATGAGTTTCACTTTTACTGAACACAATTTCCAAAGAACTATATTATACGTTTGAACATTTTATAATCTTCTATATTTTCCTTTAGTATGAAACGTTTCAGTTTCCCGAAAAAATAATAAGTAGCAAAGGAACAACTTGAATGGCCAACGAACTCGTAAAAATGAGAACAAAAATAAAGTATAATGTTTTAGAATCCCTCTGGGACATCTTTTGGTGATCAGAAGTCGGAAAGCTGGAATGTTTTCGTTGCGGACAAACACACAGAAATAAACCGCTTTTATATAACTATAGACTCTGAAGAATAATTTTGATTGATTGATATTGTAATATCGGCTGTACAACATAAATATTATTAGAATGTTATTGGAATGTTGGTTGTACAACTTAAAGAATCATTTAGATGGATTCATATTGTAATATTGGCTGTACAGCTTAAAGAATCATTTAGATGGATTCATATTGTAATATTGGCTGTACAGCTTAAAGAATCATTTAGATGGATTCATATTGTAATATTGGCTGTACAGCTTAAATAATCATTTAGATGGATTCATATTGTAATATTGGTTGTGCAGCTTAAAGGATCATCTAAATGGATCGATATTAGAATATTGGTTGTGCAGCTTAAAGGATCATCTAAATGGATCGATATTAGGATATTGAATGTACAATTGAAATACTCATTTACAGAGGTTGATACTGTATTGTTAGTTGTGCAGTTTAGTTAAAGGATCATTCAAAAAGACTGATATTGCATAGATGGTTGTACATCTTAAAGGAACAGAGCTGGCATGGTCTGGTGGTTAAGGCACTCGACTCGCAATCTGCTGGTTGCGGGTTCGAATCTTGTCATAGAATATGCTCGCCCTTTCAGCTCTGGGGCGTTGTAATATGACGATTAATTCCATTATTTATTGGTAAAGTGTAGCAGTGGGTGGTGGTTTTGACTAGCTGCCTTCTCTCTAGTCTAATCTTCAAAATTAGGGATGGCTAGTGCAAATAGCCATCGAGTAGCTTTGCACGAAATTCAACAAACAAGCAAACTTAAAGGAATGTTTAAATAATTGATATTACAATCTTGGTGGTTGTGCAGCCTAAGGAATAATTGGATATGTGGAATATGGAATCTACATTATCATTGCGATAAATTGTTATTGTAATATTGATTGTACAATATAACGGATTATTAGAGCGGGGCGTAGCTTAATGGTCAAAATGATGGACTGTGAATCCGAGAGTTCAAAGTTTGTGCCCTGTTACCATGAAAACATTCATTTTCCTCTTTTGGTCCGTGGATGCGCTATAAGAGTGACGGTCAGATCCACTGTTCAATCCGACAAGAGTAGCCCAAGAATTGAAGACTGATGCTGTTGACCAACTGCCTTCCGTCTAGCTTATCAATTCAAAATTAGTAACGGCTATCTGCAGATAGCCTTTGAACAAAAATTATAAAAATAAAATAAAAAGTAACTAGAAGGTTATTTTGATAGACTGATATTAAATTTTGATCAAAACAAGCTACCTGTATTGTAATGTTGGCTGCACGGTCTAACAGGTCATATAGCTAGCCTCATATTGTAATGTTGGTTGTGAAATCTATGATCATTTAGACTGGAGGTATTGTTAAGTTCATTAGAGAGAAGAAAGGATTGTTAAGGTGTCTTGGAAAAGGTAATATTGAAAAAATTAATCGCAGTCCTTAAAACTCGTTAAGGTAAAACAATAATATAATGTTGTCTAATCATATAGATTAAATGTAGTTAAACTGTGGCAGTGCTATTAAATTTCAACTGTCTCTTTAATATGGAATAATATTATATCAGCTCCGGTACTAAATATAATTTTAATGATGAGTAGGGCTGTGAACAAGAATTTAAATATGAGCGTCATTGAATGGGACATGTTAAGCACACACATACATATTATATATAAATGAATAAAAACCCTATAACCAGAAAGTTCCATCTTTCGAAAGCGCTCGGGTTTTAGGGTTTTTATTCATTTCTATCAAGACTTCTTGAACCTATGTGTTTTTCTATCATCATGAATATATATATAATATCAACACATGCACATACATCATACACATAGAAATAAACAAAAAATGAGCGAGACCCTATTCATAGTTTTATTGGGGGGGGATGCCCGTCTTTGTTCCCCTTGTGCGCCCCTGTGGTTGAGTTTAATGTTGAATGTGCGCTCATATCGCTATTAATCAGTTAGTTCAGGGGTTAACTAATTCACACACTTTCGGTAAAAATAGCATAATTAAAATAATTGGTTATATTATACATGGAGTAGCAAACACACAATGTCATAGCAGTTTTTTCAATGTTCTTGTTATTCTTGTACTACAATCTTTCACATAACGTAAATCTTATTATTTCAAAAACGCATACTCGGTACACATGTATGAAAATCAAGACCTACACAATTAATGGTGTAGTTTGAAAACAAAACTTTCAATGAATATTTTTACTTACTTCTTGTTGGACCAAAAACGTCATTCCAAGCTTTGAGGTCCCCATTGGAGTTGGTGTTAGAGAGCTCGTCAGGAAGAGTAAGGAGGTCTACATTTTTTGAATCGTCATTTTTACTGAGATTCGTCGATTCTTTGTTGGGATCTTCAATACTTTGATACTGGTCAACTAAATCTGCAGAACTCAGGCCTTTGTTGTGTAAGTTCTCAATGTCTGTAGTATGGTCAACTAATTCTTGACAACTAGATTTCCATAGTTTTAAGCTTGTGTCAATACACGCGTCGTCTGGCTTGATAGACGTTGAAATGGACTGTGCTAAAGAGCACTCTGGCTCTGCGTAGTTACGGTTTAAAAATGGAGAAGTTTGTAAATAATAATTCGCTGCGATTTTTACTGAGGGACGTGTTCCAGCAAAAACTCTAGTTAATAAATGAGATTCGCTCGATTCTCTCTCAATGGCTTGCGAGTTTAGATTGCTGGAAAGTGTAGACGGACTTGGTACACCATTAATTCTCCTGTAATAGCCAGAAGGACTAGGTCGTTGAGAAGCAGATGGTATGGCAAGAAGACAGTCCACAACATCATCAAGTGTAACACTGGCACCATCAAAATTATGTTCTTCATTGGATTCTATAGAAGAGTTAGAGTTTTTAGTGACCGATAAAAACATTTGGATATACATTCTCATGTCATGTCTTTACTATATAATACAAAGATTTGTAGCTTTTTTGTCCTCATTCACGTCACCAGTACCTGAGAAACTTAGATATCTGTCCTAGTCCACGTCTTTAGTACCTGAGAAACTTAGATATCTGTCCTAGTCCACGTCTTTAGTACCTGAGAAACTTAGATATCTGTCCTAGTCCACGTCTTTAGTACCTGAGAAACTTAGATATCTGTCCTAGTCCATGTCTTTAGTACCTGAGAAACTTGGAAATGCCTTAGGCTATCAGCAGGTGTGAAATATTTGAAAACTGATATGATTGTTTCTGTACTGTATCAAGTACTATAAACGTGGGAAGAGTTGAGACCTAAGTACTTTTAGTTTCAGGCACTGAAATCCTAAACAAAGACAGAGATCTAAGTTTATTTGTTTCGGGTAATAGGACAGAGATCTTTTTATCAGGTAATAAAAATGTGAACAAAGACAGAGACCTGAGTCTCTTTACATCAGGTACTAAAGACGTGAACGAGGACATAAACTTAGGTTCAAGTTATTTGTATCAGACTTTAAAACGTGAAAAAAAGTACTAAAAACGTGAATGAGAACAGAAACTTAAATATCTTTTTACCGGATACTGGAGGTGTGAATGAAGACAAAGATCTAAGTTTCTCAGGTACTAAAGACGTGGACTGGGACAGATATCTAAGTTTCTCAGGTACTGGTGACGTGAATGAGGACATATATCTCAGGTCAGCACGAGTTTTTACGTCAAACATTAGGTTCGTGAGGACAGAAATACAAGTTTTTACGTCAAACACTAGGTTCATGAGGTCGGAAACATTAGTAGATTTCTATCATAATCATCAAATACACGAAAACAGAAACTTAAGTAGTTTTTATATTAGATACTAACAGTTTGGGGACACTAGTTACACCTGTGTGTCCAAATATCTATAGCTTATGATACAATGTAACAAAGTTCCTTGTTTTATTGTCAGGTTTTTTTTATTACGGCTCTTAACTTAATTTTGAAAGTTTATAAGAATGCTGAAATACGAATAGTAAAATTATATTTTTTATTTCGGAATTACTATAATTCATTAATTCAAGTTATTTATGTTCAGTTTAATTTTTTAAAGCAAAAATATTAAAATATGTTTAAAGAATAAACGCGTATATTTTGAAGAGACTATAAACTGTGCAATAAAATAATTATTGATTTGTATATTTTTTAATTTTGCGAAAACATCGTGTATTTAACTAAAAAAATTACTTTAAAATTAACTTCACCACCACCACTAATATATCTGTGTTGATATATGGACAGATGTACGTCGAATTGTTTAGGGTTCTGTTAAAGCTACGCCATTTTGCTTAACGTTTATTAAAATACCAGTGCATGTGAAGGACATTTTTTGATCTGTGGTGAATAGTGGGTATATAATTATTTCGAGATATTACATTGGAACAAAGAACAGAGTTTAACCACAAATTTGTCATTTTGCTTTCTTTTCATGGATAAATAATAAAACTTTGTAGTGGAAATTTATTTTACAGATATTGAAGTAATTTAAGGCATAGGACTGCTATGCTTATTTGAGCCTGATACACACAAACGTTTAGGGTTTGAAATAAGTTGTCCGATTTATTTTTAAAAGACCAAGGTGAAATATACATATTCTACAATACGTTATAACATCTTCAGAAGTTCCTTCTCTTAACTATATTCATCACCATTTAAACAAAATAACCCTAAACGAAAGTGCTTTCTTGTACTTCTTTCTGGCTACATAGATTAATAGATTACAAAGAAAGTGAACGTAATTTTCATCTCTTTCATTACTTCACAAATGACTGTTTACACTATAATCAAAATGTCAGATCTGTAGAGAACCCATGAGTGAAAGTAAAGGAGAGCATGTTATAATATGTCACTCACACCACATCTGCCATATCCAGCCGAAGAGGCCTTCCGTCCAGTCTCAGAGTTCATAAGTTTAACATAACAGCAAATGTACAACGTTGGTACCTGATGATGACAAAACCTTGTCGAAACGTTAAACTTATATTAAAGTTTTTCTTCATTACCCATTCAAGCCATTATTAGTCTCAAAGTGGGTTCCTCGTCATCGAATAAGCGCTATATATATATATATCATTATGTTATTATTATGGTATGAAATCAGGTTAAGCAAATGATAACGATTCTTATCAACGTTATTTATGTAACTAACAAATCAAATTTTTATGGTAGTAATCAATAACATAACATTATTTATTTATTTACTTAAAGAAATTTTAATCATACGATTTAGCCTTAGAAGTTTACATCAACTGTATGGGTTCAAGTTTCAAAAAATCAAATTAGTATTTATTTGTTTTTGTTTTATGGAATAGAAAATATTATAATAAATATTACTTAAAGAGAGAGATTTGAAGAGAAGAAAACCTACTGAAAAAAAAGACGCGTCTAATAAAGAGAGGCTAGAAAGTAATATGGATATAAATAGTGAACAGTATAGCGAACATGAATAAAATCCAAATTAAAATAAGTAAAGAATTTGTTCCAGGGTGTCATTGAAAATACTCATTATTCGACATCTTTAATCGGATGCTGAAAACACAATCAATGTTCTCTCTCTGTAACAATTACTGTATTCACCCTCAGTAGACTATGATAAACTTTTGACTGAAGATGGCCTGGACTAATTTTAAAAAACAATTTTAGAAGACATTTTGTAGATGACAT